TGAAGCCACTCTACATCTCAGTGGAGATTAAGGTGACATATAAAAGGCACTGGGAGCCAGTGTTGTTTAGTGGTTAGTGTTGGACTGGAACTGAGGAGATCTGGGCTCTAGTCCCCACCCAACCAGGAAGCTCACTGTGTGACTTGTGGCCAGTCACAGACCCACAGCCCAGTGTACCTCGCAGGATAATTGTTGTGAGAATAAAATGGAGAGAAAGAGAGAGAATCTTATAAGCTCCCTTGGGTTCTTTGACAAAGGGAAAAAAATGGGGATAAATGTAAAATAATAATAACTTCCAAGCTAATAATGCCAAAAATAAAATACAATGAAAACAATTAACTTTAAACTATTCAAAATAATTAAATCATAATTTAGGGGTGCTCTACTCTGGAAAGCTCATTCCATTTGAGCTCAATTGACCTTCAACACATTTGTGACCCAATGGCCAAAGCAGGCCAAGTAAGGGGTTTTGCTTTTATCTTCTGTGAAATTGCTTGAAATATTTGTGCAAACTTGAAGCCAAGAACCATTGGGTGTAAATTGTGCAAATGTGCATACTTGTTTGGTCCTTTCATATTACCCCAGCTTGAAATAAAAATATGTGAATTGCAACCCATTTAAAAACAGGAAGCCTAGTCTGACTCATGTCAGATTGAGTTGCCACCAGTACAGGGTTGAGGAAGTTGAATCCATGAGACCAAGTCAAGAAAATCCATTGGATTTTTACCCTTCTGTCATAATCTTCACACAACCCTAGTTAACAGACCAGCATCTATATTTCCTTGCATTTGCAAGAACCTCATTTTAGAAAACTATACTCTGGTGAAGAATAATTTCTTACAAAGTTCAATAGAGATTCAGTGATTCCTGAATTATGGCTGTCACACTACGGAAACAGATTATATTTCTCTACTCATTCTCTTTTACTGGTAATATTGGGGCATCTCCCATGACACATAAGGTCAGTGTGAATTGTTCAACACACACAATAGTTGTGGGGCATGTGTAACCACCATTTTGAATATATATTCCCTGCAAACCTGGTGACTGGATGTTGTGAGGGTTGAACAACCCTTGCATAACACGTGGTCTTTTTTTTTTTTTTTTTTGGATCATGGGAGGGTTGTTTAGCCTTCCCATAACCCACACTAACTGAGTTTGGAATATACAACATCCCCTTAGCATGGGTTGCATATGAAACATGGCAGACATAGGCACCATGGCTCATTCAGACCCAGGAAAAAGCAGCAATTTGATATGATAGTCTGAATGGTGAAAAACACTGAAGCCAATGTGGAATCCAGTGTGTATGCACTTAAGATTCAACTTCTTTGCAAAATCCATCTGTGCTCCAAGGTCCCCTTGAGATTTCCAGGTCTTCTTCTAAAGTAGCTGATCCAGTGCTATAAAAGTAAATATATAACTTTTTCAATTTAAAATTGTCACCTAAGCTTGTTCATGTTTGTTTCTTCCAGCCCTTTACTGTGTGGGAAGACTGGGTTAATATTGACTTTTCATTTACTGAAGGTCTCAGTTGTGATGCTCCTCTTCTGCTTCTGTTTCTCCTTCTCCTTGTCTTCTTTTTGAATTTTGCAATCAAAGGGAAATACCTTTTGCTAGTACTGGATATTATAGATAAATAACATGGTGAGATAGATCATGCACACTATTATAAACATATTGCATGAGCCTGCCATTTTACATGGAACTTCCATTTCCATCCACTCTGGGAAAATCCACCTACATAATATTGCTTATTCACAACTATATCCGACACTGTGTATTCTGAGTAGACTGAGGGCTCTAAGATTGCAGGCTTCCATTCATCCTGTGCCCTGACAACAAGGCTAAGCCAGAGCAGGAGGAACAATGTGGGAGATTTTCCTCCCATTCCTCCTAAAAAAAGAAATCAGCTTGACAGGCCTCTGAGACTATTTTTTTAATTCACTGTCTGTGGGCAGGAATAGGAGACAGGGCAGCCAAAGGTTCCTGTTTATTCCTGCCTCTCTTCTTTCCTCCTCCTCCTACTCACAAGAGAACTCCTTTTGTGATTTGTATGAGGTAATCTGAGTTCAAAGTTACAATCTCAGAAAGTTGCCAGTTCTTGCTGCCAAGGTGATCATAGCAGGGGTGGGGGGGATCCATGTTGGATTATTCCTTCCTCAGGACATAGGAAAGGCCACAGCTTTGGAGGGGGAAATTCAGTCCTTAGAATCATAGAACAGTAGAGCTGAAAAGGGTTACCAAAGCTGCTCAGTGCAGGTCTCCAGAATTGGATGCCTTGGCAATTGAATGTTGAATGTCTGGGATTGCTCTGTTACTGTTTCTCTCCCATAATTTCACAGCTTTAGTAGACTTTCTGACTACATCACAGCTATTATTTTCAGTAGCACAGTCCATGGTAATTATGGGGTCTTTTTTATAAGGTATTTTTGATTCCAGATATTAGAGCACGAAGCAGGTTTAGTATGCTCAGGTTTTGGTTTTGGCTCTAAGTGAACCTGTAGCAGCATTTTTCACCTATAGAGAGACACTGGACACAATTCTTAGCATAGATCCAAGTGACTTTAAGACATGACAAGATAGTCACCATCTTCATTCTAAGGAGCCAACAACGTTTAACAAGCATTTAATGCTACCACTTAAATGGGTTATGTTCACCTTCAAAAATATAACCAAACAATCCCCCTGCTAAAGGGAGAGCAACATGAGACAACATGGGGTAAGGATGATAGATTTTATTTTCAGACAGAAGTAACACTCCTTTGCCCTTACTCTCTTACTGGGGGTTGCTAACTGAGAGTGCTATCGGCCTTACCTGAGCCCACATGCTCTTCCATATATTATTCCACTGGATCTCAGGGATACACATCTCATTGATTAAATGATTATGGATGATCAAAGTCTTATTCGTTATCAACCTTTGTTAACCAGTACCAGCATCAACCTTTGTTAACCAGTATCAAATGAAGAAAGAGGCTTTGCTCACATGGAAGCTAGCATGCCTAGGGCTAACAGGAGATAAAGAAGAACTGTCAGTTCACAAAAATCCATACAGCCTTTTTTCTAATGCCTCCTTTCCTCGCACCAGTGCAATATTGAAAACAATTGCACTTGTTTGCTGCTAGAATCATTAACATACTGTCGGGGCAGGATGTGATTAAAGTCACTGGCTGCCCATGTCTCAGAATTTAAGAGATAGTTGAATTTAGCCATGCCGAAATTGCTAAGAAGACTAATGAGAAATTATTCAGTTGTTATTGCCTCAGAGCAAAATACTGCATTTTTATAAAATGTCAAATGAAGAACAACCGAAATGCTTAAGAAATAATGAACAATCTAGTAATGTAAATAAGTAAAAAGTAGTGATTGTATTAAAAGGAAGACAAGCAGTTTTACAATGCATTCTGGGTAACTTGTAAAAGAAATCTGAAAGGTTCTCTGGATACCATTTAAAGACAATCCTTAACCAAGCTATACTTGGTCAGTGAAGAGCTATAAAACTAATATCTGAAGTAAAAAAAAATCTCAAAGTTAGCGAGCAAATAATAGGGTATGAGGTATAATAGCAACCAAACACCTGGTACATAAACATCTGGAACAGAGGTATTTATAATTTGGAATAATTAGCAAATATCTTACTAAGTAAAGGTTAAGCATTACTTTATCAAGCCTGAAAGGTTTGTTTTGAATGACACAGACCTGTGCATATTTTGACAGAAAAAATGCCCACCACTCCCACCATTTCCCAGCCAACCACCCTTTTCAGTTACACAATAGTTTTCTATCTAAATAGGCTTGTACTGAAAGCTTTTCAGCATATTTTAATGTTGGATTTAGGGTTAGCAACAGTGGAAGTGAATGCTGGAATTGCCTCATGGTGATGGTGATTTGCCACAGCTGGTGGCCATAGAGGAAGGATTGCTTCAGGAAGCAGAGGTATTTCTTCACACTTGAGTTGTAGTTCCCCTCATCCTGAAGGAGCCATTTTCCTTCTATATAGGAAGCATATATAGTTATTATTAAGCTCCTACTTTTCTCCTATATGTGCCCCTGTTGGCTACTTTTTAGTGCTGCATTTAGGAAAGTTTAAAACTGTATATATTGTCTTTTATGAGGGTTTTTTTGTTTTTCTCTTTTGCTAATTTTGCAGATTTCTATTGGGATTTTAAGGTTTTTATTGTTTCTAGCTTAGTGTAGAGTTGTATTGAGTTTTAACTTAATTGTAGATACACCTTGGCAAACAAGGTGGCATATCATAAATTCATTTGTAAATGATTAAATAATATTATTATTACACTGCATCCCCTCTTCCTCTTCCTTTGTTTTATATCACATTGTTTTTCGCTTGTGAGGAATCCAAGGCTTCATTTCTATCCTCACAACAACCCTGTGAGGTAGCTTAGGCTGAGAGTGAGAGACTGAACCAAAGTCACCCCATGAGCTTCATGGCTGAGTGGGGACCAGAACCTAAACTCTGGGATCTTCTAGGTCCCCAGTGCAACACTCTACAACACTTCTTCCTACAGTTATGAAATGTAGCGTATCACTCCTATGTACCTTGGTAGCAGCACTAAAAACCTGCTCCTGGTTTGTAGCTTAATACAAAAGCCACCAAATTCCACATTCCAATCAATGTTAAGAACTTTTTTAACTTCATTGGTGTAAACTGAAGAGATCAGCATTCCCCTTTTCCCCAAATGTTAGGAATTCAAAAATAAGTAACTCGTACTAGACAGTGCTCTAATTGTAATTGTATTATCAGAAATAACTTCGAAGCATATTTTCCCCTTGATTTTCCTTTACATTTTAATTTTTGGAGTCTTCTACAATGTGCTTGCCTTTCTGACCCTCCAGATATTCTTCATTCCAGCAATAAACATGAATATTGGATTCCTGACAAAACTACTGAGATGTGGCTTTTTTTGATGTAGACCATTTTGCTCTCTGTGGCTGGTTCTTCTTTGGTATAAAGTAGCTGTTATTTGTCACACTGACAGGTGCATCTACTGCGAAATGCTGGCGATGAAGTTACCATCACCGTTCAGTACCTCAGGGAAGCTCCATCATTTCTAAAGCTCCCACTGGGTAAGGAGAAATTAATGGATCTCAGTAAAACGTTTTCCTCTCTGCAAAATTCCTCATAACAAACAGACACTTGCACACAAATATTATTTCATTCATGCATGTTTCACTTCAGAAAAGATTATATAGTGGAATGCTATATTATTTAATATTTATACATGCCCCTTTCTCATATACCCATAACCATGTGCAGCCCACATCCCTGTGTTAAAGTTTCACATGATTGCAAAATATGAATTATTCAACACAGTGGCAGAACCAGTGAGAGTGGCTTTCCCACCGCATCATCACCCCATTAGAGAAAGCGCACAGCAACTGAATAGGAAAGGTCCTGGTGATTAGCCTGGATCATATAGCAGAAGTAGTTACATAGATACTTAAGTCAGCTGAGATGGCCTAATTCACTAGCTCACTGCCACACGAATTCAGAAATGGAGACTGGCCACAGAAATGCTATGATCCCGTGTCACACTATGTGTGCTTTTGAAGTAACATGACTTCCATGCATATGGCTAGCCTTGATGCAGTGCTTGCATCAAACTCATTTGTAGCCAGTGTGCTCCAAAAATCAGAATCATCTGTCTAACAGCTACTTGAAATGTTTTGGAATTTGGTTTACGCTAATTGGCTTTCACTTCTAAATGTAGGAAACCTTATGAAAATGTTGAAGGAGAAAAAGATATAACTTTCTCCCTGCTCCTTTTTGGTAGAGTTGTGGTTATTCTTTACATAAAAGGATTACAACTTCCAGACTGAACTGCAAGAAGTAAAAAAAAAAGACTTTGGGGAGAAGTTCTACTTTCAAAGATGACAGAGAGATAATCTTGCTAAGTCTGTGGGAGACATAATAAATATTTTGTTTTAAAGCAAGCTACTGAACACATGATTTTCTGCTCCTGGGTTTCTGTTATATCTATTAAGCAATATTATTTTGCAGTTCTAATTTATTTTTTTCCTCATTGTGCTTAAGCATCTTGAAACTAGTGGCCCCTAGTGGTGTACTAAAATGAAATCTTAATGGTGAAGTCCAGTGTGCTTACTAGCAATGTATGTATTGGAAATGAGTCCAATGCAACTTACTCTCTAGTGAACACTGTATCTAGAAAGCCTTCTGAAAGAATCCTCTTTAGCCTGATTTTTAACGTCCCTGGGTATATAAAATTGGTATTTTGCTTTTATTGACTTTATGCTTATTATCAGACCCCAGTCATGGGAAAACAGAAGATAGAAATTAAAGTACATATGTTTGATCAGCATGTGTCTTTGTTTCGTATAAGCTGAACTGAATCCTACTGCAAAAGTATGTAAGCTTCTCAGCTTAAGACTTTTAAATTTCCACTCATATCTGGTGCACTGGCCTCCTGTGTCTTTCCTTTTAAGACATGTATAGCAACAGTTACACCTATTTTAGTTAAATTAAATATTTACTTGTTATTATTTGAACAAACTAACAGTTTTGTATACGTGCAATGCAATTCCAGCTAAAGCAGGCCATTCTATTTATTTCCTGCTGAATACAAATTATGAAGCAAATTAATTTGCTTTATTTCAGGTTCCCCAGGACCATCAAGTGATCACAGCAGTGGAGCATCTTCCCCCCTCTTTGACAGTGGTTTACATTTAAATGGAAACTCAACAAATACAGTACGTGACTCTGTATCATTTTGCCTTGTACTGTTTGTGGTTTATGTGAAGGAGTAGCAGGAGAACAAAAGTGCTTCATGCTATTCTAGAAGTACGACAGCCTATTATTCTAATACCAGGGAGGGAGCCAAGCACAGCAGTAGCAGCAATCTAGACTTATACTGACTGGATCAGCACTTACCATATATTCAGTTTTTTAGTTAAAAATATTAAAATGGCTGGGAAGGATTTCTTGGGAATTTGTCTTTCATTTTTAATGTTCATGTGAACTACTCTTAACTACTCTCATCAATATCTTGGAGCTACAGGAATTCAAATGAGGACAAAGAACTGGCTGAAATCAGGAAAATTATGGTATTTAAGGAACTCTCTTGCCTAGGAAATAAGGACAGGATCACATTTGATGGAATTTGGCCAGCTTGGACAACCCGATACCCATCAGTTTTGTAAGACTGTGACATGGGTTTTGGGGCTCCTTCCTTAAACATACCCATTTTGTTTGAAATTGAGTGTTAAAAATTCACAAGGATAAAGTATGCCACAAATTATACCAGTGCTTTATTATATGCCACACAAATTAGTCTAAGTGGTTCCAGTTAGATTTTCAAGTAAGTGTTTAGCATCCACTTCGATTTTGGAGAAAAATAAAGCTTTTCATCTGTCCCATCATTGTCACATTTGGGTTGAAATAGGAGTGAGTCCGACCTGCCTCTTCTTAATTTGCGCCACTTCTCACTCTGTTTCCCGCACAGCCCAAGAGGACCTATCATGCACCAAGGGGATATAACCACCCTTCCCCGCCCCCTGCCTATACAGAACTGCAAAACACAGGAATTGTTAAGTTTTCATTTGGTAGGCCATATCCAGCTTGGTAGGTCAGAAGTTGTCAAGGTCTGTCATACACTTTTATCATCCTGCATTAGTATATATAAGCTGCCGTCACTCATCAGATATTCAGACTGGTGTTCATTAGATTGACATGTTTTGCTGTTCTTTAAAACTCCACTCCTTAATTGTTAGTGACTGCACATTATGACTAGAGAGAGAAAAATCTGCTAGAGAGAAAAAGAGAGAGATCAAGAATCAGTGTTTCAGTACTCTTGAGATTTTGAGAAAAGCTCAGGATGAGGAAAGAAGGAAAAACACACAGAAAGACACTGGTTACTCTGATGTGTGACACCATTCCATACTAGAAGTTAGGCATGTGTGCATATTATAATAGCACACACACAAAAGTAGAATGGAAGCAAGAATACTCCATATTCTGTCTTGCCCTGTAGAAAAGTCACAACCTACCTTTATCAGAATCAAAAGGATTTGAACAAGTGGAAGATCAAAAGGCAAGATATCAAATGCTGGGAAAAAAAAGTGGCTTCAGATACTGAGGTGAATTGTTGAAAGTACAAGTATGAGATAGCATTTATCAGACTGAACTCTGATCAAAATAGGCAGGGAAGAGGGTTAAGAAATGTCAGCAAAAATCAGAAACCTTTTTTTCTAAGAAATGTCATCTGTTTAGCAAAAGAGAACAAACGTCTTCTGTTTCTTTTGCGTCCTTTTCTCCAGAATTGACCCACTTTTAAGAACAGCACCTTGTGGCATTTTCAAAGATTATCAAACCAGGTCCTGCAGTAGCTTGACTCTTTCAGCAAGGAAGTATGAAAATAGAGCATAGACTTCAGTCTTTTAGCATGGTCTCTGTTGCAGAAGCAAAACCACCATTTCAAAAGGGGTGGAAGAGAAATTTAGTTCACATTTTAATGTTAAGCATTCCTCACTGGTTATTCCCAATCCAATACGCAGTCCATATCATGCTTTGACTTACACACTCTTCAAATTTTGCAGTGCAGTTCTTGCCTCCTAATACCTTATAAATTTATTTACTATCCCTTTCATCTGTATTTTGAGGTTGAGGGTTTTTGGATATGCCGTTGGGTGCCTCTCTTTCTGATTGCAATTCAGTCTAAGTATTCTGGGCAAAAGAGTCTTTGGGCAACCAAATGGGTGCTTTGACAACAACTCTAAATCTCTCATCTAGTCCTACTGAAAGTGCTCTGGATTTGGCAAGTGAGTCAGGAACTAATATAGTTTAGGATGAGGTCAAAGGCATTTTTCAGGACCTCAGATGAGACATCCTTACTGGGAGAGTCATCAGGTGCCCACATCTTCTGTGGGTCTTGGGTTTGCTGTGGAATCACAATTCTCCAAAGTGATCTTTCCTGGACTTGAGTCACCTGGGAGCATCCATGTCTTTCAACAGTTGCACCTATGATATAATACCCATTAGACTAAATCAAATATCATGTGCTGTTGGATGAGCCACTGCCCCCAAAGAACAGTTGGTACCCTGGAGTTGGTTACCCCAATTCCAAGACCATCAGATATACAGAAATCCAAATACCACAAGAAAAATATTTGGCAAACCATTTTTTTACATCAGTGCAACTTTTTTAAAAAAATTCTTTCATCCTTATAAAATGCATTTGTTTTGTATGTTTATTCTTAATTAGTTGTATTTGCTCTTTATACAAAATTTCTTATTGACCTGTGGCTCTAATAGACCATTTATTCATTCATGGTAAGCATCACACAAAAAAGATGGTGGTATATGTCTATCTCTGTTCTGATTCAAAGGCAAAAGCAACAGTGGGGCACACACAGTAAGATTGTTCCCTATACTTTTTCATTTGTCTCTTTATTTCTAGTCTTCTTCTGCTTTGTCTTTGCATTAACTTCAAAGATAATGTGCTTTTTGGAGGTGTAAGAATCCCTGGGGTCCTAGAGCATTTGCTTTCCCCTTCTCTTTCCCCTTGCTTTCTTTAGGGAGGAAAGGAGTTGATAGGAAGTGGCAGGACTATCAGATGTGCTGCTGAGTTTCTTTCCCTCTTTCTATGGTTGGCTTTCCAAGCAGCCAATAACATTCTTCTTTGCTTTTTTCTCATTTGCATGCCCATGGGATCATTTTTCCTAGAAGTCAAAATGTGTTCCTTCTGTTATGCTGGGGCCCCAGTCCTGCAATTTTACCTTTAAGTGTTTTAAGACAGGAGACTCAGCATTGGTAAAGTACTTTTTTATACCAGGTAAAATGATGTTGCTGCTTTGGATCCTCCTGTGTCAGGTAACTAGAGTAAGCAAAATCAGGGCTCTGATATCTTTCAGGCTCATCAGAGAGCAGATACTATAAAGTGACCAGGTAGAGGCACTACTCTGTGGCTTATCTTGGGTTATTTAACCCATGCAAAGTCACAGCATCCATGAACGCCAAATTATATAGGCAACCTTTGTTCAGGGTTGTGCCATGAAACCCCAGGAAGTGTGGATTAGGTGAGACTTGCATATCCCATGCTTACCAAGTTCACACAACATGGCAACCCCAAAGTGGAGGTTGTGTATTCAGAATGGTAGTTAGACATATTCTACACATGCTGCAACTCCATGTAGGCTGTTGTATCATGTCAACAGCTGAGTGAGTGGAGATTTGGTGTATATGTGGATGGATCTGAAGTATTCCCTCTTTGCAAAGAAGCTTAGGCTGAGGACAGGAACTGATGTCCAGACAGTTATTAAAAATTAACTAGTGTAATTAACTCTCAGTGTAATGCTGCATGTATCCACTCAGAACTTAGTGCAGTTGGTTAAATAAGGCTTACTCCCAGGTATGTGGTTATGGGATAGCAGCCTCAGAATCACAACCAATAATCTTGTGAGAAAGCAGAAAGTGAGTCCATGCTTAGGGATCCATTGTAAGGGAGCTATAATATCATATAGCACAGTTAAATAACTACTATATAGTGCATTATTCTATAACATTTAAAAATCCTGTCTCTTATCCCATCGGCTTTGTACTCACTGGGGCAGAACAATGAAGGTGGGAACAGGTTTTACCTTTTGATGAGACTTAGGTAAATGCCTATAATTTTCCTTACATTTCTACATGTACAATAGGTAGGTACTTTTTAAATTGAAGCAGAAGATGCTGTATACCAGGCAAACCCCATCGTAGCTGCAAGCCTGAGATAGAGTTCAGTTTATGAACTAGCAATAGGTTAGCCATCTTTTGTAGAGACAGAAAGAGAAGTGGAAAGGGTATTCAAAAGCTAGAATATAGAGTTAGATAGAGCAAAACTGACAATAATGCATGGAATTAAGTAATGAAGGTTGCAATTCTTAACCCATTTTCCTGGGAATAAGCCCCACTGAACTCAGTGGGATTTACTTCCAAATAAACATTGCTCTGTAAGTGGGACCAAAAATGGGTTGTGGGTTCTACAGTTCTGGATTGTAGATTTGAATGCAGCTGACCACAAAGCATTTGCACCCATATGGAAGAACTGAATCTGCTCCTTTTAAGTCCAGCTGTGATGACTGCATGGTCATTCTAAAGCAGAACTATTCTCTATTATGGGTGAATTTATTTTAAAATGTGACCTCCCAAGGCTAGTGGAATGTAAATACTTAATGTAGTCAGGATTGTAGCTGGTACAAAAACATACTATTGTTCAGTCTGTGCTTCTACAGTTCAAGGTTCGAAGGATTGAAGCGTGGTGCAGATCTCTCTGCACTATCATTTGCACTTTGATGCAATAGACATCAGTCAAGTTTAGAGGAAGAAAAATGTCAAATATGTTTAAATACACTATTTTAGGAAATCAATTTTCATTCACTTTGGTGTATACTTTTATGAATGTTGACTCTGAATTTTTTAAAGTTTTGTTTGCTTCAGGATACATTTGCCTAATTTGTTAAAAATATGATAGGGGAACAGTGACACTCATAAATGTTGTGACCTTAAAGAAATTAAAAAGAGAAGACTATCTATCCCAAGAAACCCATAATTTCTTCTCCGTGAACCTCTTTTATGCTGTTAAAGAACTAACAGGAGTGCTGGGGGCAGGGGACATTGTAACTAAACTAAAGCAGCAAAATGCTTTGAAACAGCCTTGTGGATGGAAGCTGTCATCTCATATGTACCTCATGAACAAGACCTTTTTGTTTGACCA